CCTCGGGTTACCTAGCAGACGCTGAAAATATATCTGCAATAGGACGTAATTGCTTCGTAACACGACATGCTGATATATACTGTGTATGCAGACCCTTGGAGGCCGCTATTTTGATGTCGGTCCCTCCTGCCAGAAGGCTGGATGGGTCGGGACTTTTCTTTATACGAGATTTGCAAAGCCCGCAGCGGATGATGGCATTTCTTCTCTTTCCTGGTATTGTTTTGTTATCCCCTGTCTGTTCCGGAACACTCGCGGAGCAGCCTAAAGGTCTCTCTCAATGTCAACTGCACTCAACACTGCGTGAAGCATGTTGGAGAAAGGTAGCTTCTCTGGAAACGTCCCTAAAGTATTAGATGATCAAGTGAAAGTTCTTGTTCTCTTCCAACCAAGTGGCCAGGTGAACACAGCCTCGTCTGGGACTCTCTTGAACCAGTCTGCCCGGATTTTGGAACCGTCGGCGCGTGTGCATTTATCTAGGTTCTTGGCGCTTTGACGATGCCTGCCTGCAGACTCCTGGTTCGCCAAGAAACCAGAGATAGGGAATGGGCAAGCAGCTGGCAATAAAAAAGACAATACGCAGGGACCATCACAGTCGGACCTCTTTGGGATACCCCCAACCACGTCGAGAACGCCGTCAACCCTCGAGCCTCTGGGCGGCTTCGGGCTCGCAGCCATCAACGCTTGGCAGCCCCTCAGTATGCCGGTGCTGATGATTGATAGATAGATGGATCGGTAGCCTTCTCGTCCTAGCCGCCAGTCCCTCCTTTCTTTTTGTCGTATGTGTCTCTTCCCTGTTCCCCGGGCTCACTTAATCTCCCAGGGCATATTCAAAACCTTGTTTCCCCCGTGGTGTGGACCGTCTGCCTGGCCAACGTACACACAGACAGCAGTGCCGAGAAAGTATATCCCGGCCTGTGGAAAGTTTCTCCCCAGCCCGCAAGCAGGACGCGAGGGCTGTTTTGTTTGGTTGTTCTCCCCTGCAAATAACAACCTTCTCGTGTACATCAAAACGAACCCCTCTCCGGTCCCTCGCCGACCTAGTCGTCGTTGCCGCAGTCTGCCAGCATGAATACCTTCCGGTCCTACCTGAGACCGGCCACGCCCGCCCAAGGGGCAGCAGCCGAGAAGCAGGCTGCGGCCGAGCTACGGCAGACCCGGCCCAGGAGGTCCAACCTGAAGTCGCCCGACGCCGCAACCTCACATCGACTGCATCCCATGCAGCAGGCGCGAGGCCGGCAGCCATCTTCGTCAGCCGCCGTCTTGGGGCCCCGTGGTCGAAGCGATCCCCGTGGCCGGGCTGATCACCGCGGCCATGTTCCACCGTTGCCGGCAGGGAGTTCGGCGCGGGCAACAAGCACACACCCGGCGCCAGGGACAAGCCACGCCCAGACAAGCCAGGCAGGTCAGCAGCAACAACAGCAGCGGACAAGAAGCCGCAGCTTGTCCCGGGCGTCGACAACGCGCAACTCTGTGTTCCCTGCAGGCGACAATCGCAACGAGCAGCCCGAGACGCTGCACGCGATCCGCAACGACATGATGGTCAACCACCTGTACGAGCAGCAGCTGCGCAAGCAGTACGCGTCGGGGACTGACCCGTACGAGGGGGTGGTGCTCAAGAAGGCGCGCGGCAGCTTCACGTGCTGCCCGCCGCACATGGCGGCCATCCCGGACTCGCTTTTCGCGGTCATCTCGGCCATGAACGTGCGCTGCGCCATGACGGTCAACACGCCCGTCGTGCGCGCGCTGCTGGGCACGCTCTGCGAGGGCGTGGCCGCCGAGAAAAAGGCCGACCACGTGCCCCTGCCCGACGGCCTGCGCGTCCAGATCCTGCCCACCATGGCCAACCTCCCCCGCGGCCAGCTGCACCACTTTGCCGCCTTTGTCGAGGACGCCCGCATGCTGGTGGTGTGGGACGACGAGCCCGAGAAGCTGCTGGCGCGCGCCGAGAACCTCGAGGCCCGCTTCATCGAGCTGGTGTGGGGCGGGGGCGAGGCTAGGAAGAATGCCGACGGCGACGACGACACGGACGAGTCCCACCCCTCATCCTCTGCCGCTGCGGGCGAGAAGAGGAGACGGGGTTCGTTGGCCCATGGCGCTGCTGATGCCGATGCCGACCTCGAGGAGGCTGCCGAACACCGGCCCGTCCGCCTGGAGAGCGCCGTCACCGTGGCCATCACCCTCGCGCTGTGCATCGGCTGCCTAGGCCTCGGGTGGCGCGCCCTCGCGCTCGAGTCCGCCGTCGACGGCGACTACACGCGGTGGGCGCTGCTGATCGTGTCGCCGGCGCAGATGTTTGTCAGCCTGGTGGGTGCCGTTCTCTTGTCCCCTTGTTTGAAGTACACTAACATGTGGATGCCGCGTACAGTTCTTCTTCCAGGCGCTCGTGGGCAACCTCACGCAGATCTTCGGGCCCATCTCGGCCGTCACGTCCAACAGCAAGTACTACAGCGGGCAGGCTCCGCGGCGGCGGCTGCACCGGCGGCACGGGCAGGGGCAGCTGCCGCACGTCACCATCCAGATGCCCGTGTACAAGGAGGGGCTGGCGGCGGTGATCCGGCCCACGGTGGTGTCGCTCAAGGCGGCCATCAGCACGTACGAGATGCAGGGCGGGTCGGCCAACATCTTTGTCAACGACGACGGCATGCAGCTGCTGGCTGACGACGAGGCGCAGGCGCGGCGCGACTTTTACGACGAACACAATATTGGCTGGGTCGCGCGCCCGGCGCACAACCCGCCCAGGCCTGGCAAAAGCAAGGGTGGCGAAGCAGATGGAGAACAGGCCTTCTTCGTGCGGCGCGGCAAGTTCAAGAAGGCGAGCAACATGAACTACGCGCTACACGTCAGCAACCGCGTCGAGGACAAGCTGGCGGGCCCGAGCAGCGCCGTGCAGCGCCACGCGCGGTGGACCGACGAGCACGAGCGCGCCGCCTACTACGGCTGCCTGGCCGCCGTGCTGGCCGAGGACGCCGGGCGCACGTGGGCCGACGGCAATATTCGGGTGGGCGACTACATCCTGCTCATCGACTCGGACACGCGCGTGCCCGCCGATTGTTTACTTGATGCTGTTAGCGAGATGGAGCAGAGCCCCGAGGTGGCCATCACGCAGTTTGCCTCGGGTGTCATGAACGTGACCGACTCGTTTTTCGAGAGCGGGTGGGTTCTCCCTCCCCTTTTTCTGCGCGGACAGAACACGAAACGTTCGCTTGACTTGACGACATACTAATGCGTAGGTCCCCAGCGTCACCTGGTTCACGCGGCTCATCTACACGGCCATCACGTTCGCGGTGGCGTCGGGCGACGCGTGCCCGTTCGTGGGCCACAACGCAATCCTGCGGTGGCGGGCGCTGCAGGACGCGGCGGCGTACATGGACGAGGTGGACGGCTACGAGAAGTACTGGAGCGAGGCGCACGTGTCCGAGGACTTCGACATGGCGCTGCGGCTGCAGGTGGCCGGCTACTCGCTGCGCTACGCGGCCTACACGGGCGAAGGCTTCAAGGAGGGCGTCAGCCTGACCGTCTACGACGAGCTGGCGCGCTGGGAAAAGTACGCCTACGGCTGCAACGAGCTGCTGTTCCACCCGCTGCGCTTCTGGCCGGTGCGCGGCCCCTTTACGCCGCTGTTCCGCCGCTTCCTGGCCTCGAGCATCCCGCTGCCCAAGAAGCTCACCATCTGCGCATACATCGGCACCTACTATGCTATTGCTGCTGCCTGGTCCCTGTCGCTGGCCAACTACTTTATCACGGGCTGGTTTTATGGCCTGTACGACAAGTTCTACCTCGACTCGTTCGCCATCTACATCTCCATCATCGTCGTCTTCACCGGGCTCGGCAACGTGGCGCTGGCCGTGCTGCGGTACCGCCTGAACGAGCAGTCGCTGATATCCGCCTGTATGTTCCCCTTCTTGCCTTAATAACTTTTTTTTTAAAACAAAAAAGAAGAAAAAAAGAAGAAAAAAAGCTAACCTCTGTCCCAGGCTTCGAAAATATCAAGTGGATCCCCATGTTCACCATCTTCCTTGGCGGCATCTCGCTGCACGTATCCCAAGCGATCCTGTCACACTTCTTCGAGTTGGACATGGCGTGGGGCGCGACCGCCAAGGAAATCGAGGAGGTGCACTTTGGCGAGGAGATGATGCGCATCCTGCGGCGCTTCAAGTTCACCTTTGTCTACTGCTTCGCCTGCACGGCCCTGATCGTCGCCGGCATGTTCGCCGCGCCCTACAACTGGCGCATCGACGCCTTCTTCAGCATCTACCCGCTCGCCGCCGTCGTCGTGTCGCACTTTGCCCTCCCCGTGCTGCTTAACCCTGCGCTGATGATGTTTACCTGGTGATTTTGATTTTATTCCTGGGGGGAAGCAGAATTGGAAAAGGGGTTTTGGAATTATTCTTATTCTCGGATCGGTTGGGAATACAGTACTGTAGAAGAACTAATCATCTAGGCCAGAGAGGGTTAGAAAGGTCTTTCTTCGTAATTATTAGGTCTATCTTCGCACTTGGCGGCAGTCTTGGAAGAAAAGACGTCGATTTACTCATGACATAGTTATAAGTAGAAAAAAGAGTATTGTAATTATAATAGATAGTATAGATATGTGCCTGCAACTCGCTACTTCTTCACTTTACTTAGAAGTAGGTAGTTAAAATTACGCTACCTAGCAAGTTAGGAAGGGGAGCTGAACGGCCCCTTTTCTTTCCCCTTTTTTGCCTTCCGGTGGCCCTCCGGGTGCGCCTGCGGCGGGCTGCTCGCTACGCTCGAAAGTCGTTCTTTATCCGATTAACTAATTCCTACCTCCGAATTTCAATTTAACCCCTACTCGAGAGTCTTCCGGGTTAGAAATGTCGTCAAGAGAAGAAAGGAGGCGGTGTTGTGGTTGCAGTCTCGCAGAGGGTCCCACTCCCAAAAAAGAAAACACTTGGCGCTGCATGCTACTAGTATATCCCCAATTAGTGGAATTGCCACCAATCAACCAAGCGCTACGGCAGGTGTCCAACACCTGCAAATCTTCCGTAGTATAGTGGTTAGTATATGAGCTTGTCATTCCACCTTCGGGTGCTGGCTTCGCTCGGGACCCGGGTTCAATTCCCGGCGGGAGAGCATTCTTTTTTTCTTTTTTCTTTTTTTCGCTATTGTATTTCAAGATTTTTCGCCTTGGATTAGGGATTCTTATTTACTTAGTTAGCGAGCACGGTACATGGGCGCGCTTTGCAATATTAAGCTTTGTTTTGCTATTTTTGTGGATTGGGTGCTTGCTGGCGGCAACCTTTCTAGCGCGCATCCATGGAACCGATGGATGCATAGCCCACCACAAGGGGCCTGTACTGTAGGGAGCCTAGCTCCTCAGTTGGCTTATGCCACGCATCTCCGTCACGGTTTGAGCTCCAAGAGAACATTTGAACAGTTGACAATTAATCACGGTTATGCTACATTACAGCAAACAGGTGGCCGGCGGAGTTCATCCGTCAGTGCGCCGCGGACGGCGGCCCTTTTTGCTCCATGTGGCGCACCGCCGCCTTCCTCATGAGCCTCGCCATTGTCGTCGAGCTGACCACCTTCGTCGCCTTCTTCATCGTCTGCCTCACCCCAAGCTCCGTACGCGGAGCAGGCATCCCGCTGTTCGCTCCAGTGCGCGGGCGTTTCTTGTCGACAGAGTCTCGGATGTCCTAGGCACCCTAAACTGTCTGCTATATTCCGGCGACGACGCCCCAGTTGTCCGAGGACAAGGCAGATAACCCATCCAGTCGTCCCAAAACTCCGTCTGCTGGATCTTTCGACCACGGTGGGACAGAGTAGTTGCTGAACGGCTGTAGCCTGCTATTGGAAGAAGAGAGCCTTGTCTAGGCGGGCGATGCCGAGGGCTGTCTTTCTTTGGCCAGGAGCGGGAGCCGAGAAGGCACTGTTTGCAGTGATGAGGGTGACGAGTCTGAGCTTAGCTACCGCCGAGCCAACCTTTCAGTTCCCCGACGGCCAAGACCAGATCGACTTTTGGCGCGATACCAGTCTTGGAGAGGACGACCGCCCTACCCATCCTCCGGGTCCAGACGACAGAGGAGAGCAGGATGCGGATGGCTCGGTTATGCCGCCACAAGTACAAGCGAGTCGGGCAAGCATACCGAGGTCGTCGGACGATGAGAGCAATAACCACCTTGAGCTGGCTAATACCGAGCCATTCACTCAGCCGTCAACCAGCCAAGACCAGGTCATCCCTCAGCGTAATATCGGTCGTCATCGACATTACGATACCGATGACGTAGGAGACTACCGTCCAATTGTGGGACTCGACGCCGAGTACAGCCAAGATGATGATGTTGTCCGACCGCGAGGACACAAGCGCCGCAGGATAAGTACTTCGACTCCTACAAACCGCGGTACGATACCTAAGCGGCAGACACGTCCGCATTGCACCGGCTCTCGGTCATGACAGGCCCAAAAACCAACCCAACGCCCGAAACGCTGACAAAATCAGCACAGCAATCCCAGCCCGCCATCCTCACAGGGATCCGCATTAGGGAGGAAGCCGTCAGAGCCGCTACGGCAGAGTTCGAAGAGTGGCCCCTTAAAGACGCGGTCCTCAAGCGCGTTATATTGGATGGGGCGCCGACTTTCCAGCTGCAGTTCTCGTGGGACGCCTACACGAATGTCATACACAGAGACCGTGCGACTAGTCATGCCACAGTACCCGACTTCTCGCCCGGGGGCCGCAAGTCGACGAAGCGAGGAGTTGCCTCTACGCCCGGCGAGCCAGCTCCTTCCCAAACAGACGACGACGCCCAGCCCCTAACCTTGACCGAAGTAGGAACTGAATGGGCAGTCGAGAAGATCCTGGGAGCTAGGAAGCAAGGAAGAGGCAACCAGGTGCTCGTCATGTGGAAACCGACGTAGGAACCACTGAAGACCTCTCTCGAGACGGAAGCACTGCACGACTACGAGGAGCAGCACGGAAAGATCGCACCTTGGAGACACGACATTATCTGATCTGGAGCGGTTGCTGGAGCGTGATCGAGAAATTCGATCTCGGTCGTTGGTACGAGCGGGTTGCGATCCTCGAGGCGCCCCGGATAGTGGTATTGTTAGACGAGTTAAGCTACGGACCACACTATAAAATAGTTCCCTCTCGGGGAACTTCACTCCCCTATCAAGTAATTAAGTTCATTTTATTTATGAGTCCGTCTCCTCCGACTGTTAAAACGTCCCCAAATACTGTAATCCCTCATACATAACCCTAACCCTGGCCAAGCACCCCGCCCGCCAGTACATCCAACATTCTGCCGCGCAGTAATTTACCACTTTTTACCACAACGTAACCGGCCCTTACCTTTCCACCGTAACCGACCTTCAACAACCTACTTTCCTTCCTTCAACAACCACCAAAAATCGTCGGCACCGCATTCAATCGATGCATCGGTATGGCTTCATTTCTTCATCGTCTGTATCGTCGCGCAGTACTAACTAGCGATAGAAATGGCCGCCCTTGAAGATCTAAGCGATCTGAGCGACTTTGGCGATCTCAGCGATGCGCCCGGTGAAGATGCGCCGCTGGCACCACCACCACTCTCAAACCCGCCTGCAGGCCACAAGCTTCTCACCACAAAATATGACACCCTCGATGATCTTATCGACGATTTGAACGAATGGAGCGCTTCTACGCGCTTCAACACGTTCAAAGTACGAGCCTCTAATTACGCCAAGGACTTCGGCGCAACCAGGGTCGATTTTGGCTGCCAACGTGGAAGAATCCAGCAATCCAGGGCAACAGTGAACAAAACCACCACCGATCATAGAGGCTGCGGTTGGCAGGGCGTAGCCAAAGCCCTCGTTTCCAACGATAGGAAATGGACCTTTGAGCTTCATCCCGAGATACAGAGCATACAAATCATCCACCGAGCGACCGGGACTTCAACCTCATGAGGTCCAAAGTCATCTTCGGTCCTGAGCATAAAGTAGTCATCGCCGCATATATCGACCGCCCAGCTGTCCCCAATAGGGAGATTGCCAAAGACTTACGCAGGGCCTTTCCGGACCTCATTTTCACACGCGACCAGCTACGAAAATGCCGTTTTCGTCTTCGAAAGCTCGCCCTGAAAGGATACACGCCATTCCAAGCTACGAAGAAGTTGCTTGACGATGCCGGCATATACTACAAAGTTCGCTGGTCTACCGATAACCCTGATAAACCACGCGGGCTTTTTTGGGCCCCCGAATGGTGTGAGGAGCAGTGGAAACGCTTCCCTTGGGTCCAGTTGTACGATAATACGTACAAAACGAATAACAAGGGCCTGGCTCTCTTTCAGGTAGTTGTCAAAAACAACCTGGGTAAGTCAGTCAGTTGTGCCTTTGGTTTGATTGATAACGAACGCGAAGACGGCTTTAATTGGGTGATGGATCGGGTCAATGAGCATCGTCAAATAATCGGCGCGGACCCCCCGAAGGTTATAATTACCGACTTCGAAGCCGCGATGAGGACTGCAGTTGCCCGAGTTTACCCCGAAGCTAAGCCTCAACTCTGCATCTTCCACATCAATAAGAATGTGGTCCTTCAGTTCAAGAAGAAATGGAATGCAGCCGCTGCAAAGGAGGTTGCCCGGGCTCGGGCTCGGGCTCAGGCACCGGGACAAGGCGGGCAATAAGAGGAGGAAAATAACGAAGATGACGACGATGACGAAGATAACGAAGAAGAACAGGAAGAAAACCAGGTTGTTTACCGTATAAGAAGAGTGCAAGATGGCCAGCAGCCGCGCCTGGGCGCCCTGCCAACCGAGGTCCCCTATATAAAGGCAGGAATGTATATCCTCTGGGAGCATATCATATACTCGGCCACCCTCGATGGCTTCAACCGGGCATGGGAGATGATGAAAGCCGTATTTTCCGCCCAAACGGCTATACTAAAGTATCTTAACGAAACATATATGCCACTTCGAAGTCAGTGGGCAACTTGCTATACCAATAAGGTACAAAACTTCGGCCAACGGTCCACATCGCCAGTCGAGTCAGTTAACAAGCTCTTCAAGTCATACGTTATTACCGGCTCTAGTTCAGTTGATCAGACCGTACAACAGACCTTAAATATGGTGGAGGGTATGAAGGAAGCATATGAGGAAGAGACTCAGAAACAACAGAACCGTATTCGCTTCGACTACCTAGGAAAGCAGTGGCTAGGCGAGGCTCCTTATAACGTATGTTATGAAGCCCTCGATCGTGTTGTTCAATAGTATAAAAAGATGCAGCCGGCACTCGAAGACCGCCCGAGACCCCTCGAGCCTTGCACCGGCAGCACCCGGGCGTAGTATGGCATTCCTTACTCTCACGAGCTTCTTGAACGTCACAGGGCAGGTACTCTGAAGCTTCAGAAGGTTGATTTCCATCCATATTAGTACCTGAAGAGGTTATTACTTAATGAAGACGAGTACCTACGGTACCAGGACTTTGATAGAGTTCAATATCTTCGGGGCAGGCCGCGTAACACTTCTGCCTTTGCAGCCGAGCCGAACGCTCCCCCCTCTCAACCAACGACAAAGCCTCAATGCCCAGAATAGCAACAGCCTGTGTTTTTGCCGCCCTTGCCGTGAGGTGAAATGGTTGCCATTTTGGTGAGGGACAATACCGCCGCAATCCATCTGCGGAATCTTGGCCAATTTGTGAAGTGACTTGTCCAGATCGGGTCAGATTCTTCGAGTAGTTGCGGTAATTGTGGGAAAACCACCTCGTCAGCACATGTCCTCGATCTAGCGCAGGCTTACCAACAGCAGAGGTAGCGGAATGACAGGAAGAGGCGGAATGACAGGAGGAGGGGGGGCAGGAATGGCGGGAAGAGGCGGAATGTCAGGAAGAGGCGGAATGGCAGGAAGAGGCGACAGGGCGCCTTTGATTTTCAAATTCGCTTTCTTTCCCGCCCTAATAATCCTGCCTCAGGTGCGCCCTCTGACAGAATCGAACCACCATTGAGGTCCGTTTCGCCGTATCTGGGTTGGTCCTCTGGTTAGCTGGGGGTGAGGATTGGGTGGTGTGGGACTTTTTTTTCACGCACAACGAAGAGGGCAGATTGACTGCAAAAGGTTGATTAGTTGAAGACAACCAGTTGATACGGTTGATTTATGCTG